TGGAGAAGACATCAACTTTACAAACCATCATATGAACAAAGGGTGTTCAAGAGCACAACATTGATTTTTTTTTGGGTCAGTGGGAACCGTTCTATACCTTGTATGCAATAAAGACACACAGTAATAAGACTAATAAATATAACTTATACACAAACATTAAGAGGGGATGCTAAGTCCCTTTGCAACAGAGTATTACATAAGCCAAGGCTAAGCATGGGGCAGTGGAAAATAAAGTAATCTACAAGCACAAATATAACCAGCCATTCCTTGTGAACCCACAGGGTACAACTGACTGTCACCCACCTATATCGTACAATTACAGTGGCTTGCAAAAGTTTTCACCCTCTTGCCATTTTTTTGGAATTAAAATGGATTTTTGGGGCCTCTGTATCATTTGATTTACACAACATGCCTAACACTTTGAAGATGCAAATAATTTTTTGTGATACAAACAATAAGACAGAAAACTTGAGTGTGCATAACTATTCGCCCCCCAAAGTCAATACTTTGTAGAGCCCCCTTTGTCAGCAATTACAGCAGTTTCTTGGGGTACATCTCGATAAGCTTGGCCACTGGAACATCTAGCCACTGGAATTTTTGCCCATTCTTCAAGGCAAAACTGCTCCAGCTCCTCCATATTGGATGGGCTTCACTGGTGTACACCAGCCATTACGTCATGCCACAGATTCTCAATTGGATTGAGGTCTGGGCTTTGCTAAGCCATTTAAATGTTTCCACTTAATCCACTTGGGTGTTGCTTTAGCAGTATGCTTAGGGTCATTCCTCTGCTGGAAGGTGAACCTCTGTCCCAGTCTCAAATCTCTGGCAGACAAACAGGTTTCCCTCAAGAATTTCCCTGTAATTAGCGCCATCCATCATTCCTTCAATTCTGACAAGTTTGCCAGTCCATGCCGATGAAAAACATCCCCACAGCATGATGCCGCCACCACCATGCTTCACTGTGGGGATGGTGTTCTCGGGGTGATGAGAGGTCTTGGGTTTGCACCAGACAAAGCAATTTCCTAGAAGACCAAAAACCTAAATTTTAGTCTCATCTGACCAGAGTACCTTCTTCCATATGTTTGGGGAGTCTCCCACATGCCTTTTGGTGAACATCAAACAAGTTTGCCTTTTTTTCTGTAGGCAATGGCTTTTTTCTAGCCACTGTTCCAGGCCCGCTCTGTGGAGTATATGGCTTAAAGTGTTCCTATGGACAGATACTCCAATCTGTAGAGCTTTGCTCATTGTTATCTTTGGTGCCTTTGTTGCCTCTCACGCCTTGTTCACACCGAAAGCATGTGCGTTCCAGAGCGGTAGCTGCTGGAACGCACCCCGATCGCTGAGAAACTTCCCCCCCGCATTTTGGGGCTGGGGGGGGCGTGGGGGTCCATTGAATACCCCCCCCCCCCGCAGTGCGATTGGACGCCAGCGTTCCGTTCCACTGCAAACGCACACGCTTTCTGTGTGAACAAGGCCTCAGATTAATGCCCTTCTTGCATGGTCCATGAGTTTTGGTGGGCAGCACTCTCTCGGCACATTTGTTGTGGTAACATAGTCTTTCCATTTTTTTATAATGGATTTCATGGTGCTCCGTGGGATGTTTTATAACCCAACCCTGACCTGTACTTCTCCACAACTTTGTCCCTGACCTGTTTGGAGAGCTCCATGGTCTTCATGGTGCCGCTTGCTTGGTAGTTCCCCTTGCTCAGTGGTGTTGCAGATTCTGGGGCCCTTCAGAATATGTGTATATCTAGTGAGATCATGTGACACAGTGGATCTTCACTTAAATAATTATGTGACTTCCGAAGGTAATTGGTTGCACCAGATCTTTTGTAAGGACTTCATAGCAAATTAGGTGAATACATAGGCATGAACCACTTTTTTGTTTGTATTATTTTTTTTTTAAAACAAGTTATTTTCTTAATTTCACTTCACCATCTGGACTAATTTGTGTATGTTCACTACATGTAATCCAAATGAAAATCCATTTTCATTCCAGGTGGTGATGCAACAAAATAGGAAAAAGAGGGATGAATACTTTTGCAAGCCATCTTGTATCCCATCATTTTGTTTATATGGATAGTAAAACTTTGATCTGGCCAAAACAAATTGTAAATATGCTGAATGTTATTTATGTTCTTCGATAAAAAGGTTAAAACAAAAAGGTGGAAACAAAAAGGTGGAAATTCAGCCATATTTTATTTTAGTATAGAGTTTTTTTATTTTAGTATAGTGGTAGAAAAATCAGAACCTTTATTTTTTTATGGCTCTTTATCTCCCTGCTAGGGAAATTTGTCTTCACTTCAGACAAACAGTTTTCTTTAACTCTTGGCGCTAATGGCTGCCAGCTGAACAATCCACTTGCTGTTGCATAATCAAAGTGTTCAACAGTTTATCACACAGACTTGAGGGGCTGCTCATCCAATGCTCTGGGGCTTTCACCACAAACATAAAAAACAAAAGGGAACAGAGCGCCACCTCTGTGTAAAATCGTTTATTAAAATAAATAAAGCGTTAACAGACAGTGTGGCCTTGTTTGTTGTTAAAGCGTGGTGAAAATGTTTGCTTGCGAGTACATATATCCCTTGTTTTATTTATTTAAATAAACAATTTTACACACGGAGGTGGCACTCTGTTCCCTTTTGTTTTTTAAATTTGCCTGAGCACTGCATCATAGTAGAGAGGCACTTGTTTCACTATACCTGGAAGCACTAAGTCATTTTTGTGGCAGCTGTGACAGAGTAAGGAGTGGCACCAAAGCACTGCAAAGATAAACATAAGTTAGTTGCACTGGGCTACACAGAGCCCTGAATGATCTCTCCAATCAGAGGGTAGAATAAAACTTGCTGATCGCAGAGCTATAGATCAGACTCAGCAGGGAGTGTGTTGGACCTCTGCAGAGGGACCACTGCTTTTACACAGAGTGCAGGAGTCCTTTTCTATATTTCTCCTTTTCGCCTCCAGGACTTCTCTAGAGTCTCTCCCATCCTCTGGAACACTTTACCCCAACCTGTCCGACTATCTCCCACTCTGACGGTCTTTAGGCAATCCCTTAAGACTCATCTCTTCAGAGAAGCCTATGCCACCTCAAACTAACCACTCAACCATCATGTTCTCAAACAATTCATCCCCACACAGCTACCTCCTCATGTATCCCTTTCTTTTAGATTATGGGCCCTCCTTACCATCTCGTCTTGTATTGTGATTGTAATGTCTTCCTTATATTGTAAAGTGCTGCGCAAACTGTTATATAAATCATGAATAATAACAATAATAATACACTGACTAGCAAAGCAATACATTTTGTGTAAACAAGCTATGCTGAGCAGAGTAGGTTCTAGTTAAGGCACCAAAAATGGTGTACCTTTAAAGTGAACCTGTGACAAAGAAACCGTGGAAGCTAACACTGCTTACTGCAGGTTCCAGTTTTATATATATAAAACTATATAAATCCTGTATAATAATAATAATTTAGCATGCTGGCAGGGGACAAACTTGTCTACTTAGGCTGTGACTGAGAACAAACTGTGATGGCCCATTCATACTTTGCCGTTCTTTAGCACTGAGTTAATGCATGTGCATGGATCAGTTTGTGTCATGCATTAAATGTATGTTGTGTGAAGGCAACCCGTTAATTTTGAATGGGCTGCCAGCACACAAGAACAGACATTAAACGAACATGCTGCAAATTTGTTACGACGTAGAGCGTTACCTTAAGTGGTGCTCCAATGCATGTGCATTGGTGCTGCATTGTCTTTGTGTGTTGGGGTGCCATTCAATATGAATGTCATTGCAATCTGCTAACACATCACTGTGTTAAAGCATCACATCAAAGTTCAATTAAGCTTTAAGAAAGAAATATTGTACTCACCTTTGCATTCATGCTGTAAGTCTTGCTGCTGGCTAAAAGCTGACAACACAGACTCGGGTGATACAGCAATCAGGTTCTTCCACACATCTTCTGTATAAAACTCCACAGAATGCGCCCCAGATATCCTTGCAGTGATCTCTATGAATTGCAGCAAGCTTTTTACCGCCTCCTTCACCTGGTCTGTGCTCGGAGAAGATAAATGGGCAAACATCCTGATGGAAAAAAAAAAAGTGCACTTTTTAATTCAGTATGTTCAAAATACAACTTTATGTATTTTGTTTTCAAAAAGTAAACTTTAAATGGGTCTGGGGCCTGTGCATGCCCAAACAATGCAATACAGAAAGCCTAGGGGTCAAATCTGGACTTCAAAACACCACAATAACGTTTAATCAAATACATTTACTCCAAAACTAGGTAAGGTCCAGAGAATGACAAGTGATTGCAAAATAATTCAATGATATTTCATGCAAAGAAATTATGTGAGATATGTATCTTAACAAAACACAACACAATAATTTTGCATGGAAAACAAAACCAAAATTGGGGGGGAAAAATGAAAAAAATTTTCGAAACAACAGGCGTTTTGCTACAGGCTAAGGTGTGAGCAGGCACCATAGAACATAATAGGATTTTGAATGTTTAGTGTGAATGCAGCTTACTGTGCATTAATTGCTGTGTCCTGCCTTGGCAGTACATAAACATCAATGATCACCTTCTAGACACGCTCAATGTGCAGATGCTTCTCCACTCTTCCTGGCAGCCGGAAAGTGACGTAACCCAGCCACGTGACTCCAGCCGTCACTTGCTGCAATCGGCAAAGAATAAACAGTGTCAGAGCGTGCTTACATGTGGAGGAGTATAATACTGCACACGTTTGAATTATATATGTCCTTTACCTGCCAGTGTTCTATTGTACACAAACACAGTCCAGTCACTAGTATGACCCTGCCTGTACTATAACTGACAATGCCTGTGTGCACGTTCCTCAATCATTGCAGCAGGGTGGTATTTACTGCTGTGTCTCTGCACCGCCAGTCTACAGTAAATCCCCAGCTGTTGCACTCCCACCACGGGGAAGTCACGTGATGCCGTGATGTCATCGAATGTCGACTCACAGAGCCATCGTGGAGTACTGGCATGGCTTCCTCTGGCTTTGGGGGCGCACAGTACAGGAGGAGAGATGGGCCTTCTGGGGGGAAAGGAAAAGCCACCTTTAATAAACAGGCACGGAAGCAAGGAGAAGACGGTGGGGGCTCACAGGCGGGGAAGAGGAGAGCAGAGCCTGGGGTAGTGTCTGTACACAGCAAGAGCGGACAGATACCGGGATCAGGGAAAGCGAAGAGGAGATGGAGGCCCAGTCAGCAGGTCTATGCGGGGAGTGCGAAAGAGGGTGAGTGTGCTGTACTATCATGTGGGTGTATGCTGGCTGAGCTGTGCCATCGTGTGTGTGTGCTGGCTATAATTACTTCAAACGCCCCATCAAATATCTTTTGGACTGATCATAACATGACATCATCTAAAAGAAGAAAAGGGCATTTTTAATACCATTAACTCCCTTAAGGACCAAGGCCATTTTTGCATCCATGTTATAATCCACATTTTAAAATTACTTAAAAACAAACATTAAGTGAAAAATGCACTTAAGTTAAATTGAGTGCCCCAAAACACCATTATTTTTTAATTCTCACCTGTACTTTCTTTGTTTATTGTTCTATAGGGAAAGGCTTTGCTTTATGGCGAAAACAAAAAGTTCAGTTAGAATATAAAAAGCTGCAAAGAAAGCAAAAGAAGACCACTACTGCTAAAGATCTGTACGTGGACAGTTACCCCGAACATTTAAAGCATCTGTACCTGGCTGAAGAAGAAAGACTGAAAAATCTAGAAAAGAAGAGGAAGCCTGAAGAAGACCCCACACAGACAATCGAGGGGGAGAAGGAAGAAGAAGTGGTGGTGTAAGTTTACTGATCTGTAGAATGGGGGCTCTAAACACATCTCCACGACAAAAATTATGATAAGGGGAAACTGCCCCATTCACACCCGAGCCTTTCATGTACACGTGTCAAACGTGCAAAAAATGACGCTTTGCAAAACACGCTTGCTGTGCCATTTTCATGAATGGCTTCCCAAATGTGGGCAGGAAGACACGTGTTTTTCCTCCATGCTTGCACATGTTAAAACACTCGCAAACACTGAGGGAAAAAACATGGAATGCATGTAGCAGATTTTGCTGCATGCACTACTTTTCCACGTTTGTTGTGCTTTGAGGACCCCATTGAAATCAGTGGGGATGCACGGCAAACCGAAAACCAACGCACATCAATATACATATTCCTGCTACACTCGCATGTGAATGCAGATGTTTCTTTTGTGCTTTTTTTCGAGGGTGGGCCCTCATCATCTTCACGTATAGTGCAGGATTACTGTGCTTGCATTGTATGTGCTAACATTAAAGAGCTCTGACCAATCAGGCAGCAAAGAGGAGCAGCTTCAAGAGACTGGTCTTACAAAGAAGATAAAACCTGTGGGATCAAGGAATGAAGGAAGTGTATTTCCTTATTCCAGTCCCCCTAGGCCAGGGGTCAGCAACCTTTTGGCTCCGGAGCCGCATGTGTCTCTTTCATCCCTCTGCTGCGGCTTCCTGTCCAGGGGCGGCACTACCTCTGAGGCTGTGGGGGGAGGGGCCCCAGTGAGGTGGAATATGCGGCAGTGCAGGGGCCCCACACTGCTGACAGGCTTCTCAGTAAGGGGGCGGGTCTTGTGATTCACCTCCTCTCCCGGCCGCGTCCCTAGTAACAGGCGGCAGGAGAGGTGTGTATTGCATGCCCCGCCCCCTGCATTGCACACCGTCTGGCTGTGAGGCTTGGCAGCTGAGTCCAGTGCGTTACTAGGCTCAGAGTCCAGTGCGTTACTAAGCCCACTTATTCCTACATACATAGCATTAAGGTAAAACATGATATATGAAGTGTTATCTTAATTTTAGATGTGAAAAGGGTTTTGTGGCTCCCGGTGTTTTCTTTTCTTTGGGAAACGGGTCAAAATGGCTCTTTGAGTGTTTAAGGTTGCTGACCCCTGCCCTAGGCAAAATGTGCATCTTATCCTTCCAGTGAAGAGGGGGACCCACTACTTCTTTTTTCTTTTTCGCCATCCCTGAATTTGGCTCTAAAGTTTCATATCTTTATCTCAATAGTGCTGTAGCCTACACATATTATGATTTGTGGCTGATTTTTGTTTTACAATGCTTTAAAATCCCTACTTCTGTCAGTGAAAATGCTGCTTCATGCTCTCTCACCAGTGCTCTATGTGGAGTAAACGTCCATACCCATTAGCACCTCTTCACACAGACTTGTATTTAGGGCTGCAACAACTAATCGACGATAGAAAAAGTTGTTAACTTTTTCAATCATCGATTAATCGGCTTCTGGTTAGTTGGCCCTGTTCACGCGCCGCACCTCCTCCCCACCTCACGCCTCGCCGCTGCCAGACCCGCCCGTATCCACGCGCCTCACGCTCACCGCCCTCCCACATCCACGTTGGCACAGGGACGCGGGGAGAAGAAGTAAGGAGGAGCAGGTGTGGGGGGATGACAGTTGCCGATAGACAGGCCCCTATCTCAGAAGCAAGTTGCTGAAAGACTGCTCGGGTAAGTCTGCACTCCTCCCCACATGGTGCTCTATAATGTATTGCTGGGATTTGTATTCCTCTATAGCTAATGGTACATTGTGCTGTATATTATACAGAGGACTACAAATCCCAGCAATAGTACATTATAATGTACTATTGCTGAGATTTGTTGTTGTACTCTATAGCCTATTGTGCCGCACATGTTAAATATCGCCGCAAACTTCGGAGTGAGAGCAATAATTTTAGAGCCATTAATCACTGATAACACTAAACTGATGAGCAGTAAAAGCGTTTTATTCGTCGCCTATGGGCGTTTTTTGCGATTTTGTGGGCGCACACAATTTTAAGGCTTGACATGTTTGGTGTCTATTTACCCAACGTGACCCACAAATTTTATGTTTACTGAAAATATGGGTAAGAATAAATGTTTTATAACATAACGAAGGGAAACTTTGTTTTTTTTACATTTATGGTACTTTTTTCATTATATAGTAAAAAAAAATAACATCCCCACCCCCCCAGTGGTGATTATATACCTCCAAAAGAAAGCTCCATCCGTCCCTAATTTTTTTTTACATAAATTGCAAGGCTAGAGTCCGGTCCGGTGAAATTTTTGACTGGCTGGTGAGACACCATCAAATTTTTAAAGCCCTGCTCATTAGTCAATCAAAAATTTCACCAGTCAGCATGACCCCACTATAGCCTTGCAGCGCCTCGCTGCTGACAGTATACGCAATATGCATAGCGGGTCTCCCCGGTACGCTAGTAATATATGTAGCTTGTCAGCAGTCGGACACAGCGCACGCTGGTTACTATTTAAACTGGCGCGCAGTCACTTGTCCGGCCCCGGCATCCTCTCGTCACAGACCAGAGGATGAGTTATTTTTCAAGCCTTGTTTTTTACTATGTAATGAAAAAAGTACCATAAAAATGTTTTCCTTACATTGTTATAAAACATTTATTCTTACCCATATTTTTGGTAAAATATATAAAAGACGGGGTCACGTCAGGTAAATAGACACCAAACATGTCAAATTTTTAAAGTGTGTGAGCTGAGTGTAGTACGATGAAACACTGCTTCTTCAGCCAATTGGCTCGCACGTAATAATTTCACTCCCCTTCTCCATCACTTCTACAGTGCAGAAGAAGTGATGGAGAAGAAGGGGAGTGATATACTGGGGTTGATTTACTAACCTTATAAACACACCACGAACGTGTATACACCTCTGCAGTGTGTTCCCTCCCAGCATGATCTATGGGTGGAATCTAAACACCTTTGTAATGTGTACACACCCAGCAGGTGTGTTGTGCAAAGCCCTGAAGGAATTCCAAGGTGATGTTGGGTAAATTAGCTCTATGTTGTGTTGCTTGCGTTGATGAATGCAGGAATGTAAATGCATGAGCTAACCATTTTTGTCTAAACTGTGAAGCAGCATTATATATGCATCATGTGCATGATTTTTCCATATATGGCATTAGTGGAAATATGCTTTTAGAGACTTTTTGGTTGATAAATACGTTTTGCTGTGTGAAAATCACACACACCTGGTGTGTGTGTGTGT